CGCACTCAGCACGCGCCACCCAAGAATGTTCACAAAATGAGGTTCCTTGCTTCATTTCCAGCGAACAACGGCCACAAGAATCTCCGGATACCAATCCGTTGGACTATTGTGTGTGGAGTATTTTAGAAAGCAAGTTTGGCACTAAAAAATACCGAAGTGTTGATCACCTCAAGCAAGCGCTTCGCCGGGAATGGACCAAAATACCGCAGGGCAACATCCGGCATTGGCAGCATTCGTTTCATTGGCGGTTTGACGGTATTTACAGTTTTTGGAAAAAATATACCCGTGATAGACCCTGCAAAGTATATATATTCTGGATCAGCGTAAAATTCTAACATGATTTTGAGATGTCCATCTGTCTATCTCTCTGTCTGTTATATTCACGCTATCATTGTTCCTCCAAAGGCTCAATGGTTATCTTAGAATGGACGACACAACAAAAAAAAATACCCACGATGAGTTTGATACTTTACAATGTATAAGTAAATAAATCACCGATTGTTACGAAAATGTAAATAGGAGACAAAAACAATTGTTTAGAATGGCAATAAAGCAAATGGAATTAACAGCTGTTGTAGGTGTTGCCATATGTTATTCTATAGGCTATTGAAAATAGCTGCTTGAGGGTGGATCACAATGCATGCTTGAGAAATTAATACGTGTGAACATTTGCAATACTGAGTAGAGTGTACGAACATGAAGTATAGATAGCGCTTTGTGATATAACCGGTAAAAAAGCAGTAAGTTCGGCCGGGCCGAACTTTGAATACCCTCCACCATTTGGAACGAATTAGAAAATTTTCAAAAAAAAAAATAAATCCAATAAAAATTCTTTTAAAATCTTTAAAATATCTAATATAGGAATGTGCCGATATATGGGGGGATATACGATATTGTGAATCTATAAAGACAAATCTATGTCTGCGTGTAAAGTACTCACAAGGAACACCTTGTATGGATTTTCAGATGATTCCATTGGAAAAAGTGGCTAAAATCATCAAAATACCGAATATAGGGGAGTACCGTTATATGGGGGATATACGATATTGTGGACCTATATAGACAATTCCGTTTCAGGGGTAAAGTGCTCACAAAGAATTCCGTGTGTGGATTTTCAGACAATACGATTGGAAAATGTGGCTAAAATCATCAAAATACCGAATATCGCGGGGTACCGTTATATGGGAGCTATACGTTATCGTTAACCTATATAGAGAATTCTCTGTCGGGGGTTAAAGGGCTCACAAAGAACCCCTTGTGTACAAAGAACCCCTTGTGACCATTCCGTTGAAAAATATGGCTAAAAACATGAAAATATCGAATATGGGGGGTACCGTTATATGAGGGCTATACGATATCGTGGATCTATATAGATAATTATCTGCCGAGGTATAAAGTACCCACAAGGAACTCCTTGTGTGGATTTTCAGACAATTCCATTGAAAAATGTGGCAAAAATCATCAAAATACCGAATACCGTGGGGGTACCGTTACATGGGGGCTATACGATATCGTGGACCTGTATGGACAATTCTCTGCCGAGGTATAAAGTACCCACAAGGAACTCCTTGTGTGGATTTTCAGACAATTCCGTTGAAAAATGTGGGTAAAATCATCAAAATCCCGAATATCGGGGGTACCGTTACATGGGGGCTATACGATATTGTGGACCTATATAGATAATTCTCTGCCAAGGTATAAAGTACCCACAAGGAACTCCTTGTGTGGATTTTCAGACAATTCCGTTAAAAAATGTGGGTAAAATTATCAAAATACCGAATATCGGGGGTACCGTTATATGGGGGATGTACGTTGTACCGTTTTATGGGGGATGTACGATATTGTGGACCTATATAGATAATTGTCTGCCGAGGTATAAAGTACCCACAAGGAACTACTTGTGTGGATTTTCAGACAATTCCATTGAAAAATGTGGCTAACATCATCAAAATACCGAATATCGGGGGTACCGTTATATGGGGGCTATACGATATCGTGGACCGATATAGCCCATCTTTGAACTTGACCTGCGTGCAGACAAAAGAGAGATCTGTGCAAAATTTTAGCTTCCTATCTTAATTCGTTTAGACTGTAGCGTGATTACAACAGACGGACAGACGGACGGACAGGGCTAAATCATCTTAGAATTTTACGCTGATCAAGAATATATATACTTTGTTGGGTCTAAAATGATTATTTCGATGAGTTACAAACGGAATGACGAGATTAATATACCCTCCATACTTTTTTTGGTGGAGGGTATAAAAAATAAACACATTTCAGAGGGGTATCATGACATTTAGAAAAATAGTGTCAAAAGGCTCGTTAACGTTTATAGGGAGATACCAAAAAATGACAACAATATATATACAGGGTGAGATAAAAAAACTGCAACCAACTTCAGACTGCTGCCATTACTAACCCACTCGTCCGACAGCTGTTAAAATTATTCTAGTGACAGTTCATTATATTTTTTACAAACGTACAAAACCATTTTGGTTACAATTTTCCAAAAGGAAAGTTATTCGTGATGGAGTTCAAGCGGATAGTGTGATTTCTTTATATTTGGAAAACCACAAGTGGCTATAGTTAGAGCACTTCAGCATTTAAATGTGAATTTTTTGTGTCTGGAACCATCGCTCTTTACAATGATACTGGTAGCGTAGACCGACGTCAAGGAAGTGGACGGAAGAAAAGAGCAACATCAGCAGAAGTGGTTCGAAAAGTAAAGAAGCGACTTGATGGAAACCCGCGTCGCAGTGGCCGAAAAATGGCTCGTGAGCTGAAAATATCGCAATATTCCATTCGGCATATATTGAAAAATGAGCTCGGGGTAAAGCTATTGAAATTGCTAAAAGTGCAAGAACTTACCCCGCAACAGAAAGAAAATAGACTCAAAAGAGTTGCTTCGCTTGACTGAAAGTGTTGAACTGCCGAACGTGGTTTTCTCCAATGAGAAAACATTCGTTGTCCAGCAGTTTGTAAACAAACTAAATGACCGTGTTTACTTGCCAAGATGTCAGCTGAAAATGTGCACCTTCGGTTGGCCACCAGAATTCAAGCGCCGGCCATTGTGATGGACGCTCTCCGCTCGTATTAATCGACCGTGACATCAGAATAAATGGCAATTATTATCGCGAAAATATTCTGGAGGGGGTATTAAAGCCTTGGGCACGCAAACATTTTGCCCACAGACCTTGGACATTCCAACAGGACTCAGCACCATCGCACTCAGCACGCGCCACCCAAGAATGTTCACAAAATGAGGTTCCTTGCTTCATTTCCAGCGAACAACGGCCACAAGAATCTCCGGATACCAATCCGTTGGACTATTGTGTGTGGAGTATTTTAGAAAGCAAGTTTGGCACTAAAAAATACCGAAGTGTTGATCACCTCAAGCAAGCGCTTCGCCGGGAATGGACCAAAATACCGCAGGGCAACATCCGGCATTGGCAGCATTCGTTTCATTGGCGGTTTGACGGTATTTACAGTTTTTGGAAAAAATATACCCGTGATAGACCCTGCAAAGTATATATATTCTGGATCAGCGTAAAATTCTAACATGATTTTGAGATGTCCATCTGTCTATCTCTCTGTCTGTTATATTCACGCTATCTTTCGAAGAATTGAAATAGAAGGCTAAAATATTTTAAATATGTGTATTTTACAAGTAGACAGGTTAAGTTCGTAAATGGGCCATGTCGGTCCACGTTTTCGTAAAGCCTCCATACAACAGTACCTCTCAATATTCGGCATTTTAGCGACATTATGACCGGAATTGTTTCGAATAACGTATTAGAAGATCTTAATGAATACCAACGTTTTCGTATACCCCATGGAAGTGGGGTTACATTTCGTATTTGAAGATCCTAATGGTTACTATAACCTATGACAAAAAATTTCTTATGCAGGTTCACGTTTTCGTATAGCGCCTACATAACGGTACCTGTCAATATTCGATATTTTTATGATATTAGAGACATTATAGAACATAATCGTTTCGAATTTTGTATTTAAAGTACTTAATGGTTACTATAGCCTATGACAAAAATTGCGTGTGTAGACCCACGTCTTCGTATAGCCACTATATAAGGATAACTCCCCATATTCGGTATTTTGATTAGATTGGCGACAACATTGAACGGAATTGTTCAAGGTCCAAATGGGTACCTATGACAAAAAATTAGTTATGTAGGTTCAAGTTTTCGTATGGTATTGGAGACGTTACAGACAGGAATTGTTTCAAATTTTGTATTTAAAGTTCGAAATGGTTACTACAGCCTATGATAACAAGTTACTTATACAGATCCACGTCTTCGTATAGCCACTATATAACGATGAGATTGGTGACAATATTGAACGGAATTGTTTTAAAGGTTTTGAAGGTCCTAATGGGCACTGCAGCCTATGTCGAAAGATTGAGTATGCAGGTCCAAGTATTCGTATAGCCCCCATATAACGGTACCACCCAATATTCGGTATTCTGATGATATTAACGACATTTTTCAACGGAATTGTTTTAAATTTTATGTTTGAAGGTCCTAATGGTACTACCTAATGGTAGGCAGGTACTCGTCCTCGTATATCCCCATATACCGGGTTTCATTTAAACCGTATTTTCAAGGAATTTTTTTTTTTAATTTTTAAAGTTTCTTTCAAATGCTGAAGAGTATTAAAAGTTCGACACGGTTCGTTTTTACTTCTTAAATATCAAATTTTAAACAATTTTGTTGGAAATTTGACTTCTGTCCCAGAAGTATATAGAAGCACTTTTGCCAATAAAGGATACTCCAAAAATATTTCTTTTTTTAACAGGCTTATAGAAAGGGTTTGGATACTCTGTTTATAGGAAATTTGCCAAATATCTTTAGGAATTTATGAGGCAATTATATATAACAACAGGACTCTACTATTAGGAATAAAAAGTCTTATATATTCTCCATGAGTAAGGCGTTGGGCCTGTGTAATGAGAGTCATAATATAAAATAAACCCATAAATGTAGCGTGCACAAAATATTTATTTGTAAAGATTTTTTTATATTGACCTTATCCAAGTGAAGATGTTTGGGCATATCAAATGAATTTGAGTGTATATGGTGCTTCTGTCTAATAAACGTAAGGTGATTTCTATATATATTATCGTGTGTACAATTAATAAAATATTCAGTGTAGTTCAACAACATAGACCGATTATATTTTTCATATTTCAGACCTATTCTGTTGCTCTGATCCAGAATATGCACTAGTTTTGCAATTTTTTTCGATATCACAAAGGGAACATTTCTTATCGTTGCACTTTTTTCTTCATTTTTGCAATTTTGGAACCGACCATGTATTTACAACAATTAATCTATTCCGTTTAGATTTTTCAACAACAAAAAGTATGAGCCACTAGTTTGTACGATCTGTAAAGAGAAACGTATCGCAACAATGTTACAAAGAAATTGAAAGACAAGTAGATAAAAAATTCCAAACACCCACCGATAAAAGTGTCATATGCGACATTGTTGTAAAGCCAGATACTTGTAAGTATAATGTCCGATTAGTTCTCATAATCATCATGTCAATAATATATTTAAATTGTTTCGATTCATTGTACCAACAACAGTTGTACCAAGCGTCTGGAGATTTTTCGCTCTGGAATAGAGTTAGATGATTAATGGCCACGAGGAGAAACCACATTCTCAATATACCTGCGTTATTATTTTCTGCCCATTATAGCAATATATGGCTATTTGAAGTCCTGCAGCACACAGAAAACACAACATTTTAACGAATAGAGTAATATCCTCTTCCAAGCCGATGCTGGCCATAAACATAACCACACACAGAACTAACATACTCAGAACACACTGGGCCAAACTTGGGTTCTTATACATGCCATTGATCTTAGCATAATAACTGAAATATAGAAGTGTAATTTTATAATATTTATATTAACAAGTAATAATTTAAAAAGTATCAGTCGGTCCATCCGACAGATGTATACCCTCAGCCAATGTTCGATTATTTAAATATATTTTGACTTGCGTTGTGATTATTCCAAATTTTGAGCAGTTGCTAGGGCGGTACCAGAAGGAATGGGCTGATTCACCCCATCTTGGAAATATTGAGATGTACCAAGTCTGAATGGAATCGGATGTTAATTTCGCGTTTTATGAGCTTCATGGATATTCAAAATTTTGACCCTTTGTGGGGGAGGTATCAGAAGGAGTGGACCGATCTTGCCCATCTCCGAACTCGATAAGTTTGATAATAATATTACGATGTAGCAAGTTTGAACCGAATCGGATACTCTCCTCGAGGGTTGTCTTGCGCACCAACCACGCAGACAGAAAGACACACGGATGATGAGGCACGTTTTGGGCTCATCAAATGATATATACCCTCTCTAGCCATATGGCTGAGGTTATAAAAAGTAAAAAACATTAAGTTCAGACGGGCCGAACAACTAATATCCTCCAGTTTTGGTTAAAGAAAACAAAGAAATAATTAAACAACAACAAAAACCTCGAGCTCGTTTTTTATTAAATTTACATTTGTAACAAATTTACATTTGTAACGGAAACATTTTTATATAATAGTATCTGATTTCAAACGTGTTTTAAAAAACCATAAAGTAGGTGAGGCCATTGTATGGGGGCCGTACCAAAACGGGAACCTCCATAGACAATTTTATATTTCAAGGATTGTCATTTACCAAATCTTCATAAATACCAAATTTGAAACAATTTCGTGGGTAAATGTGACTAGGATTAACAAAATACCGAATTTCGGTGGGTATTCCACCGGAGCTAGAACCCATTGCGAACTAAAAATACAAATTTCTAGACAAATCCGTGGAAAAAATGTGGCAAAAATCAACAAAATAATCGTGATTTCAATAGACAGACAGGGTTAATAGGAATATACGGCTGTTATAGCGGCCCACACCATCACCATGGCCGGCGCTTGAGTTCTGGTGGCCAACCGAAGGTGCACATTTTCAGCTGACCTCTTTTTTCAAGTAAACACTATAATTTTGTTTGTTTACAAGGTACTGGACAACGAATGTTTTCTCATCGGAGAAAACCAAATTCGGCAGTTCACCACTTACGGCAAAGCAAAGCAACTCCTTATCTCTTTTGAGTCTATTTTCTTTCTGTTGCGGTGTAAGTTCTTGCACTTTTTGGAATTTCAATGGCCTTACCCCGAGCTCATTTTTCAATATTTGCCGTATGGAATATTGCGATATATCCAGCTCACGAGCTATTTTACGGTCACTGCGACGCGGGTTTCCATCAAGTCGCTTCTTTACTTTTCGACCATTTCTGCTGATATTGCTGTTTTCTTCCGTCCACTTCCTTGACGGTAACCAGCGATGGTACGAGACACAAAAGATTTATTCACATTTAAATGCTGGAGTGCTTTAACGATAGCCACTTGTGGTTTTCCAGCTAAATATAAAGAAATCACACTATCACGCTTGAATTTCATCACGAATAACTTTTTTTCTGGAAAATTCTCACCAAAATGCTTTTGTACGCTTGTAAACAATATGATGAGCTGTCACTGGAATAATTCTAACAGCTGTCGGACGAGTGGCTTAGAAATGACAGCAGTCTGAAGTTGGTTGCGGATTTTTCATCTCACCCTGTATATTCTATATGGGATCTACGACGAATATTTAGCCATGTTACAAACGGAATGCCAAAGATAATGTACCCAAGGTGGAGGGTATAAAAACGACAGTATAGCAAATCATATGCAGTTTTCGATAATTGGTGTTAATTTTGTCTTTAAACAATAAATCATAACAATTAGAATGAACATTAAACTAAACTTACTTGTAAATTCGAACATGCAGCCTTGCACAGCATAGTAAATAATCAACTCTTTCGCTTTGGGGAATATCATCGACATGTTCCAGTAGCATGTGCAATATCTCAAACAGAGAAGCACAGTGAACAACGATTACTATGAAAATTCCGTCAAAGCATACAGCACCTGCAATGTATAATTAAATATTATTGTATATATTCATACACATAAAATATTTTCTTTTTGGCAGATGCATACTTACACATTCCACAAATATAATTCTCAATGCCCGCTATAAAATACTGAATGGGATAGTAGGGCCATGTCATGCCATAATCATGCCACATTGGGAATAGAGCTGGCATTGCTGCAATGTCAAGCCGAAACAATTGATAGCTAATATTTAGCAAATTAATTAACAATTCCTAATTACAACTTACGCAGCTGCAAAGTGAAATTTTGCGGTTGTATGTTTGTGTAGTAATAATTGGCAGCTATGCAGGAAAACATATAAAACCCGCAGGCCATCATGCAGGAAAATGTAAAGAAATTCACCTGGTATTTGATGTGACGCCAAGAACGGTCAAGAATTGTATTAATTTCCTGCAGCAAATATTGTTTGCAATCAATGGCTGAAAAGAGAAAAACGCATTGCAACGACAACAGAAATTCGACTAATATTTTTAATGTATGCCGCCGACTCACCCAAGTCGAATATGCCCAAATCATAGAGGAGGCTACCATTTATAGCTGTGTGCAACAGTTCATAGAATTTGTGTTGAACAAATACCAAATAGATTAATTTAAAAATTGAAATCCAAGCTTGATTAGCCGTGCATATGGCCTGCAATTTAAAATATTTTATTATTACTTTGTTTGCAACTGAAATGCGTATTCCATATCTATAAAAGAGGAAGATGTTTATATATTTGTTTGTAATTTATGGACTCGAAAACCGCTGCACAGATTTTCCTGAAAATTTCCAAGTATACTACAAGTGAACTATGAATGTAACATAGGCTATATACATTTTTGAAATTCCACTTCGAACTGGAGATATAGCATCAGAATCGGAGGTACCTTTCAAAAAATTTAAATTTTATATGCACATATCTATTGATCGATTACAGATACAAATACCTAATTTGGAATGCGTAACGGAATTTGGAACAAAAATAAATTTTGCCAAATTATATTGAAATCGGTTTAGTTTTGGATATAGACACATATATACATATTTTCGGCCGATTTCATGTTTTTTACGCATTAAATACGCTATTATCTCTAATTTCAATAAAGTTGGGAATGGAATTTAAAACGAACATATATTTTCCAAATTATATTGAAATCGGTTCAGATTTGGATATAGCTCCTATACATATTTTCAGCCGACATATTTGATGCACCAAACACGATACGTATGTCCGTTTCTAATGAAATTCGGCATGAGTGACTAGATTTGGTACAAAAATAAATTTCCCAATTACATTGAAATCGGTACAGATATTTTCGACAGATTTCGTTTATTTGAAATTTGGCATGAGTGACTAAATTTGGTACAAAAATAAATTTGTCACATTATATTCAAATCGGTTCAGATTTGGATATGCTCCGATTAATTTTTTCGGCCGATTTTACATATTTGATGCACCCAACGTGATATGTATGTCCGTTGAAATTCGGACAGAGAGCTCCTATATATACAGGGTGAGATGAAAAAACTGCAACCAACTTCAGACTTTTGTCATTTCAAAGCCACCCGTCCGATAGCTGTTAAAATTATTCCAGTGACAGCTCATTATATTGTTTACAAGCGTATGAAGGCATTTTGGTGAGAATTTTCTAGAAAAAAGTTACTCGTGATGGAATTCAAGCGCGATAGTGTGAAGTCTTTTTACCACAAGTGGCTATCGTTAGAGCACTCCAGCACTTAAATGTGAATAAATCTTTTGTGTCTCGTACCATCGCTCGTTGCCGTGATACTGATACTGGCAGCGTAGTCCGACGTCAAGGAAGTGGACGGAAGAAAACATCAACATTAGCAGAAATGGGGCGAAAAGTAATGAAGTGACTTGATCGAAACCCACGTTGCAGTGGCCGAAAAATGGCTCGTGAGCTGAACATATCGCAATATTCCATTCAGCAAATATTGAAAAATAAGCTCGGCTTAAAACCATTGAAATTCCAAAAAGTGCAATAACTTAGACTCAGAAAGCTAAAGAGTTGCTTCGCTTGACCGAAAGTGGTGAACTGCCGAATTTGGTTTTCTCCGATGGGAAAACATTCGTTGTCCAGCAGTTTGTAAACAAACAAAATGAACAGGATTATTACTTGCCAAAGAGGTCAGCTGAAAATCTGCACCTTCGGTTGGCCACCAGAACTCAAGCGCCGGTAATGGTGATGGTGTGGGCCGCCATAACAGCCGATGGCTGCTCTCCGCTCGTATTAATCGACCATGGCATCAGAATAAATGCCGAATATTATCGCGAAAATATTCTGGAGGGTGTATTAAAGCCTTGGGCACGCCTTTCTTAATTTCCAGCGCACAATGGCCATCAAAATCCCCGGATACCAATTCGTTGGACTATTGTGTCTGGAGTATTTTGGAAAGCAAGGTTGGCACTAAACAATACCAAAGTGTCGACCACCTCAAGCAAGCGCTTCGCCGGGAATGGGCCAAAATACTGCAGAGCAACATTCGGGCAGCGTGTGACGGTTTCATTGACCGTTTGAAGGTCAATGAAACGATTCGAACAAATCTAAACTTATTCTAAAATTTGACACTATTTCCGACTTTTTTTGCTTCCATTTAATAAAATTAAAAAAAAAAAATGTAAAAATTATTGCGTTTGACTTTGCTGCAGTTTTTTTTATACCCTCCAGCATGGTATGGAGGGTATATTAATTTGTCATTCCGTTTGTAATGCCTCGAAATATACATTAAGACTGCAAAAAGTATATATATTCTTGATCAGCATAAAATTTTATGTCGATTTAGCGATGCCCGTCCGTCTGTTCGTCTATCCGAATTGAAGTAGATTGATAAAATTTTTGAATATTATGCGATCATCTCCAAAAACAATAGGGTTCTATTCTGGCCCTATCCCCACCTGCATTTTCAATTTCGTGAGGATTGGGCCATAATTGCGACCTGTAGAGTGATTACAAATTAACATGGACAGACAGACGGACGGACATACATAGCTAGATCGACTCAGCTCGGCGAGATAGGAAGATCCATATATACTTTCCTATGTGGGAAACCAATATTTCGAGGTGTTATATAATTTTTGGCCCAATCAAACTTATAATACCCCAAACACATAGTGTTGTAAGGTATAAAAATTATATTGCATTACTTGACAATTATAGCTGCGCAATGTTTTATACCCTACACCACAAGGTGGTCAGGGTATTATGTCTTTGCACATTTGTTTGTAACAGGCAAAAAGAAACAAGATAGACCCATAGTTCCTTTTGATGATCTGCATAGAATCACATTCTGAGTCGATTTATGCATGTCCGTCTGTTCATGTATTTTTGTAAACAAAGTACAGTTCGCATTTACTACCCGATCCAGATGAAATTTTGCACAAATCATTTGTTTGACCCAAGGACGAACCATATTGAAATTGGAGATAATCTGTCAAAATTTAGTTGTAGCTCCAATATATACAGGGTTGCCCATATTCGACGGACCCATGACCCATTCCAATCGACGAGGCTTGTCCGCAGGCAACATTCTTTGCGTCAATTGAATTTTGTACGGGAACTAATGCAAATCAATGCGAATAATCCGTTGTAAAGTGGACCGAGCCATGCCCAACTGCTGAGAACGGCGTTTTTGGGATGTTCTTGGGGACCTCTCAACACTGGCTCGTACGGCAGCGATATTCTCGGCCCATCGCCTTGGTCGACTTTTATATGGCCTCTTCGGATTAGAAAGAGCCTTACCAGTCGAACATTTTTCGTATAAACGCTTAATGGTGTTCTTAGAAGGCTCACTTCTCACATTTTTTAATGTTTTAAAAGCACGTTGAGTTTTCACAATTGCCTTTTTTTTTGAATGTAAATTTCAACTATTTCGTGGCGTGTATTGGTTCATGGTAAAAATCTGCTTGGACTGACGCTTCAAACGCGGTATGTCATTAAGCGATGTGACATCTCTGTCAAAAGTTATGGCGTTGCCAGATGGGTCCGTCGAATATGGGCAACCCTGTATCTTCGTCCGATTTGTTTATTACTGTTCACCAAACGTGTAATATCAACCCAAACCGTATGACATTTTGCACATACAATCAAATTAGGCCTAAAAATAAGTATGCCCAATTTGATCGAAATCGGTTCAGATATAGCTATACCTCCCATATATATATTGTTCATCCGATTTGTTATTTTTGTCCGCCGCAGCCTTAATATGCACCATATAACAACGATATTTTGGGGAATTTATCAAATATGTATAGCTCAGAAATACCTTTGGTAAATTTTGTCGAGATCGGTTTAGATGTGGATATAACTCCCATATATATATTCGTTCAATTTGCCTTTTATTGTGCACCAAACTTACGACCATATTTAGTCTAGAAACTAGTATGCCAAATTTGGTGAAAATCGGTTCAGATATTCAGCTATAGCTCCCATACATATCGTCTATTCGATTTCTTATATTTATTATCTACAGTCGTAATATGCACTCCGTAACAACGATATTCAGGAAAATATATCAAATACAGCTCAGAAATACCTTTGCACACCAATTCCCCATAAAAACTTATATTTTTATGTGAAGCTCTGCTAAACATGCAAAGTGGTGTAGGGTATCATAAAGTCGGGCCGGCTCTTTACTGGTTTTTGCAAATGGAATGATGATAAAAAAGAATAAAAAAATTTCAAATATCACTTACATCGGCCGATTCCACAAAAGGCTCCTTGCGTTTGTTCCACACCAAACAATATTGAGCACACAGGCCAACCAGTGAAACGGATATCAGAAATAGGTTAATGCTAACCAAATATAACAAAAATGTATTTATTATCATCACAGATTGGCCTTCGGTCTGACTTACAGTTTCACAGGATCTTTAAATTGTGTTTTATATTTAATTTTAACGCCCGTCATAAAAGATATCCTATAAAAAGTATTTAATATTTTATTATTTTCCAATTGTTTTTCCTTGAGTAAATCCAACAACAGTTGCGACATTTTTACAGAAAGCGTCTTTGGTTGTTTTATTTGAAATGATTTTATTTTGAATTTTGGGGCAACACTAAGGAATTTTAATGGAAAGATGACATTTTTATAGGAGAGATAACAAGGTGTATGTAGGTACATACATACAAACATATATTAAGGAATACATACATACAAAATTATAATTGCACTTGAAATGTCCAATAGATTAAATAAATAAATAAATTAAATAAATAAATAAATAAATAAAATACAAAATTATAATTGCACTTGAAATGTCCAATAGATTAAATAAATAAATAAATTAACACCATTTTATTAAAATGTCAAATTTGACTGTAAATTTCTCACGTATGAGGAATGTTTCTATCAACAATTAATAGTTAATAAATCATGAGGAAGAATTACCTGTAGACTGTATTTGAAATTGTGGTAATATTTCGGTGTAGCGGTGGGGAAGTGGGAAAGAAGAGCAAAACATCAACATTGGTTTGTAGTACATTTCCCCAAAACTTGCCATGCCGCCTTATATTTACACAGTGAGATGAAAAAACTGCAACAAACTTCAGACTGCTGTTATTTCTAAGCCACTCGTCCGACAGCTGTTAAAATTATTTCAGTGACAGCTCATTATATTATTTACAAGCGTACAAAAGCATTTTGGTGAGAATTTTCCAGAAAAAAAGTTATTCGTGATGGAATTCAAGCGTGATAGTGTGATTTCTTTATATTTGGCTGGAAAATCACATGTGGCTATTGTTAGAGCTCTCAAGCATTTAATTCTTTTGTGTCTTGTACCTTCGCTCGTTACCGTGATACTGGTAGCGTAGCACGACGTGTTTGGTGCATCAAATAAACGAAATCGGTCGAAAATATATGTGGAAGCTATATCCAAATTTCAACCGATCTCGATGAAATTTGGCATAGATATTTATGAGCTATATTTGATATATGCCCCTGAATATCGTTGTTACGGAGTGCATATTACGGCTGTGGGGAACGAATATAACAAATCGGATGAACAATATATATGGGAGCTATAGTTATATCTGAACTGATCTTCACGAAATTTGACGTACTAATTTCTAGACTAAATTCGGTCGTAGTTGCCATTCCATACCATTTGAAGTTATATATGGGAGCTATATTCAAATCTGTCCCGATCTGGATAAAATTTAGCAAAGTTATTTCTGAGCTGTATTTGATATATTTCTCCAAATATTGTTGTTCCAGAATGCATATTATGGCTGCAAAGGACAAAAATAAAAAATCGGTTGAACAATATATATGGGAGCTATAGCTATATATATATATATATATATATATATATATATATATATATATATATATATATATATATATATATATATATATATATATATATATATATATATATATACATATATAGGAGCTATATCTAAATTTTGGCCGATTATCTCCAATATTGTTCGTCCTTGGGCCAAACAAATGACTTGTGCAAAATTTCATCTCAATCGAATTATAAATTCGACCTGAATTTTGTTTACAAAAATACATGGATAGACGGACAGACAGACGGACGGACGGACATGCGTAAATCGACTCAAAAAGTGATTCTATGAAGATCCTTAAAAGTAAGTATCAGTCTATCTCGCTTCCATCTCCATGTTACAAACAAATGCACAAAGACATAATACCTTTACAACTATGTGGTGTAGGGTATAAAAACTACACAACATTTTAATTGAAGATACGATTATTACGTGGAAGTATGTTGCTACCTCGAATTCTCTAATTGCAATTTTCTGCACGCTTGGCATTTGCTATGAAATTAGTAAATCCGAAGGACAAACCTTTCGTTTGTGCGGACTAAATTTGACATGTTCCTGCTTTTCTCACGTTCAGCTGTGCCAGGCATGTTCACGCGTTGGTAGACCGAACTAATTTTTTGTTTACGAATTAAAGTATTATAATAATTACGTTTTTTAAATTTATAAATTTTGTTTTATTTTTTTTTAAACCAACAAAAATGTGGATTGCATATTAAAACAGAAGGATAGCGAAGCGCTCCGGGCTCAGCGTATATAACATATACGATATGACAATGAAAATTGAATAATATTATATTTCGAATATAAATACATTACAAATCTTGCCTAGTTTATTGCATACTCAACTGTCATGGCTCTTAACTGTTAGTAATATATTCTTCTTCTTAACTGTTAGTAATATATACATATGAATATGAAAATTCCTTATTAAAGGTTATATAGCAAATGTATAATTATATATGAATATAGACGTATGTAACATTAAATTGCATGCTTATTAAACAGTGCGGTTAATCGATTACAAAGTTATTGTTGTTTGAATAAAACCACATTACAGTTATAAATTTATAGCCATTACCGACAAATTGTTAACAGTTAGATATTAATCCTTAACTTTTAGATAATGATATATTTTTTTCAAAAATCAGTTGAGTTTTGTGCTTGATATAACAATGAATACAATTTTGCCAGACTTAGGCTGCAAATACATAAAAAGCTTGAAGTCATGGCTAGGCATATTAATGCCAAATTATAATGAAAAACGACGGCAGGATTTTAGTGCGGCTCTGTAATTCCTTTATGAAATGTCACAAAATAGGCCGTACCATGACTTCAAGCTTCTTATGTACTTAGCCCTTAAAGAACTAAAGCCAATCAAATACTTAAATACTGGAAATGGATAGCATTTACATCTGGATGTAATATCGTTTACAAAACGAAATTTATGAAACTATTTAAATTGTATGTATTCTGTTCTAAGTTCAATTGCAGATAATTGAATTTTGCAAATTTTATTTTTCTATATTTAAAGTTTAAATATGTCTTTGGCTATCTCTGCGGCCATTGGTTGTTATGGTCAGGCGCAATTTTTCTGGAATCATCGTCATGAATCGTTTGATGTTTATCTTGAAGTAAGTAGTTATTTAAATCTCATGTAATACTAAGTGAAGCGAGTATACTGCGCTAATCCAATAAAGTGTAAATTTTTTTTTCAATGTAAATCAGTATGGAAAAGTCAAAAGTCGGGAGGGTTCGACAATATGATACCCTACACCACTATGCATATTTAGTAGAGCTCCCGTAACAAAAGAATTTATGTGAAATAGATCATACCACCTATCAATCTTTGGCTTCAGAGCAGTTATAATTTGGTTTCAGAGTGCACTAATATATGAGAGGCATATTCAATTCTGAATCGATTTTCACTAAATTTGACGGGGACATCTTTAATATTTATACCAAATAACATTTCTATAGAGTGCATGATATCACTTCGAGAAGGATTATATTAAGAAACATGTAAAAAAACATTAAGTTCGGCTGGGCCGAACTTTTAATATCCTCCATCTAGGCCGAACTTTTAATATCCTCCACCTGTTTCACTTTAAACTTCATATACCAGTAAGACCGTTTGGATAATGTAGTTAAACTTATCAAAAACCATAAAGTGAGTCAGGCCGTTAATGGGGCAATACCAAAACGGGAACCGCTATAGTCAATTTTATACTTCTACTTCAAATCTTCTAAAATACCAAATTTGGAACAATTATGTGAGTAAATGTGACTAGCATTATCAAAATATCGAATATCGGTGGGTATCGTTATATGTGCGCTATAGGAAACGTGGAACTAAATATTCAATATTCTGCCACCGGGCTAGAACAACAAATACCAATTTTTAGAAAAATCCGTGGAAAAGTGTTACAAAAATCATCAAAGTATCGAATATTGAGAGGCAACGTTATGTGGGGCTATACAAAAACGTAGACCTCTCCATACAATGTTTCGCCACACGAGATAGAACCCATTACGAACTAAAAATACCAATATTTAGGCAAATCCTTGAAAAATGTGAAAAAATCATCAAAATACCAAATATCAGGAGGTACCGTTATATGGGGGCTATACAAAATTGTGGACCTATGAAAAAAAGGTTTTGCCATCGGAGTTAGAACCCATTATGACCTACAAATACGAATTTTTAGACAAATCCGTGAAAAAATGTGGCAAAAACCATCAAAATACCAAATATCGAGAGGTGCCGTTGTATGGGGGCTATACTAAAACGTGGACCTATATATACAATGCTCCGCCACACGAGCTAGAACCTATTATGACATACAAATACCAATTTTTAGACAAATCCGCGAAAAAATGTGGCGAATATCATAAAAATACAGAATATCGGGAAGTACTGTTATATGGGGGCTATTCCAAAACGTTGACCATTTTCAATACCAACCATCCTAGACACAATACAAATCGTTCCGCCAAATTTTGAAGCTCTACGTCAAATAATGTGGGCTGTATCGTGATTTCAACAAACAGACAGACGGACATCCTTAAATATATATAAACGTACCTCGCGAAATTCACTCCATCTGGGCTGATATTAGCCATTATTTGCACAATAAACCTGAAATTGGATTAAGGATATGTATGGGAGCTATATCCAAATCTTAGCCGATCCCGATAAAATTTCGCAAAAGTATTTTCGAGCTCTATTAGATATATCATTGTTGTCGAATGCCTATTAATGAGAGGGACTTAAACAACAAATCGGATGAAACATATATATGGGAGCCATAGCTATATCTGGACCGTTCTTCACCAAATTTGATGTACTTTCTTCTATGCTGAATTTGAGCCGCTTCTCACTAATTCCGATGGCGTTCGTCCTTGAGCCAAACAAATATTGTTGGGGAAAATTTCATCTCAATTGGATAATAAATGCGACCTGCATTATTTAGTATTTGTGGCTTTTAAGGAATTGGATGTAGTTTTTTATACCCTCCACCATACTATGGAGGGTATATTAATTTTGTCATTCCGTTTGTAACTCCTCGAAATACTCATGTCAGACCCTGTCCGTCTGTCTGTTGTAATCACTCTGTGTGTCGAACGAATTGAGATAGAAGGCTTAAATTTTGCACACATATTTATTTTTCCAGTAGGCAGGTTAAGTTCGTAAATGGGCCATGTAGGTTCATGTTTTCATATAGCCCCATATAACGGTACCTCCCTATATTCGGTAT